GCGAGCCGCCATCATTTCTGCCATCATCTCTACGTGAGTCATCGGCGGCGGCGGTGGTGATGGTGGAGGAAGAGGAGCCAACAGTGGAGCCTCATGGCTCTCCCTGTTGCCGTGCTCATTGGCCCAAACACTTTCACCTTGGCCCTCGCCAAGATCGTGGCCTGCTCCGGCACTGGTGCTCCCACGTCCGGACCTTAGATTCATCTGTAAGAGATAAAAACCAACCACTTAGGATAACCTTCTAGATCAGAACAAGGAACGACGAGACATTTATTAAAGCATTCCTTTAGTTGCCCTATCACTTTACTAATCCAATTATACGTGTAGAGAGACTTTAGTTTAAATAAGATTCTATTATCATGATGCATGTATCGGCCTGTACGCTCTCTCAAGCCAGAATATAGCGGCATTCGTAAAATTTTGGCACATCGCACACTCACTTTTCGTATGCTAAGCGATTTCTTACGCAACGTAAGTTAGTGTACCTGCAGAAAATTGATTAAATAAAACCGATGCCGCTACCCTAGATAGACCATACTACTAGGGCTTATACTTATTTAGATAATTTTATCGCATCGTACTTTTCGCAAAACTTTTGTTTATCAAATTTTTAAGTTTTGGAAAAGAGTGATGAACTCGTAAGCTCATTATTGGCTCTGGTACCAACTATGGCAGAACCACCCGAAATAACATACTTATGGAAGGCGCTCGTCTTCCACCAGACACTAAGCACCCCGAAAGCAAGCTATAGCGGGTGGTATCCGTCGGGCACACCCCAAGGGAGAACCCAAATGATCCATATTTTTCCCCAAGGATCCAATAATGAGAATGAGTTATAATACTTAATCCATTTCATACATCCAGAGTTCGTAAAAACTCATTATTACATTGTCAAATGTCAGAGTGCGGAATATTCAACAACGGAATTAAAATAAACATCTAGAGATAAAGAACAAGGATCCACCTATGCCCACTAGAAGAATCCTCCACACAAAGGTACTCCTCAAGCATTACCTGCAACAGGGGTAAATAAACCATGAGTACACAATGTACTCGCAAGACTTATCCGACTAGTGGGAATAATTTCCCGACTCCAAGGGATATGCGGAGCTTTATAGTTTGCTGGTTTTCTTTTTGCAGAAAATGATACTAATAGTGGGTCCTTATTTATGTTATTATTAATAGCCGTATTAATTTATTATCTAGCCATTCTATGTAAGCACCTATTCTAGTTTTCAAGCAAGAGTTGAGCAATCAGTTCCATTTCATCACCTTCCATCTTTCAATTCTTACTACGATGCTAAACCATAGACAAGCCGTACCGGATCACCCGGTGATTCATGAATCAATGCCCCTAGTTGGGTACCTCAAAAACACATGCCCCACTTGTACCCCAGGCATAAGTAGGACCAACCCGTCACCCTCCTGTCCTGGGGTTCAGGCCCCCGTCCAAACTTGGACTCCAAGCCCCCGCTCCTAAGTCCCGGACTTTATGCGGTGCAAGGACCTCCACCATCCCCGCCTCCAATCAGTCGGTCCAGAAAAAGCCGGAACCCATGACAAGAGAGCAACAAGTCTTCCCTGCGCCCATACCCAAGTATGTGCTCAGGATAATAAATCTACGACTTGCCTAGAGCCTTATGCAACGGCCGGTCCTTAACCAACACAGACCGGGAAAAAGTGTAACCAAGCTATGCCCTGTTGGCCACAGGACACAACCTCTTACACCCACCAGTACCCAAACCATATCCCTACCCGGTCATCACTTTTTATTTCCACCATTTTATCATGAGTAATCTTAATTATCACCTATGGTGAGTAACGACAGGTTACTAACGCTACCAAAATCCTAAGCATAGCAGCTACTCGACCTATACTAGTAGAACTCATAGGTAGATATATTTATGCATGTAGTTTCAATTAAATTCAGTGATCATTTAAAATAAAGGTTATGCACCGGGGCTTGCCTTGGACAGGCGATGGGTCAACAAAGTCAGCACCAAACGGCTTCGGGACTCCTTCCTGCACGAGGATCTCCTCCTCGTACTCCTCAATGACCTCTTTGTAATCTTATTCGTCCACGGGCACGAACTCTACCAACCCGTGATCTACATGCATGAAATAATGATGCAACACTTAGTAATACGACAATAGCAGCTCTTAAAATAAAATACATCTATCGAGCTACTAAGTGAGTTCTACCGACTAAGGTGCTAAGTTACCTACTGTTACCACTAACAAGTATGAAGCATGCCATATATTATCTTAGCAACTAAAGGTATTCTTACTCCTAATACTGATTTACCTTATATATGATAAAACAAGGGGTACTAGCTACTCTATTTATCAACCTACTCTAGAGCTACAAAAATTACAGTGAGTATATAATGATCTAATGGTCTTACTGTAAAAATTTCATGGCAAAAGCTATCATTAATTAACCATAAAAATTCCTACAAATATTATGCTACATAATACTAAGCTTTCTAAAATGAATTTATGAACCCATCATGATCACAGCTAACTGTAAACTAACTACACTAACAGATAAATAGCATTTTTATGAACCTAACAAATTTTATTTCAATATTTTTGGACATCTATAAGATTTACTACAATTTATCAAAGTTCAGCTCAAAACTAAATTGAATAAGCATTTATAACTTTACTGAAATTTGAAAAAACACATTCCACCGGTGGCCCAAGCGCGAATGGCTTGGCCTAGACCGACACGGCGGCGGTAGCGATTCGACAAAGGTGCGCAGGGTGATTAGCAGGTGGAGGCGAAGCTAGCAGTGCAAGGAATTGACACGAGTTTGTCTCCGACGTAGACCAACACGGTCTTATTGACCCGGCGGAACGACGGCTCGAAATTGGATTGAGGACGGGGTTGGGTGGGTGGCTGGTTACTCAGCGGAGCCGAGGACGGGGTTAATTGGATTGAGGTGGCTCCACTGCGGCGAATTTAGAGAAGCGGGTACGGCGACCACGGCGCCAGAGAACAGGGGAGACTGGCTTGGCATGGCTCATCGCTGGCGTGGCGGGACGTGGCTGTCACATCGGTGCTCAATCGCGTGCGGCTACAGGCGAGGGGCAAACGACCAACGCATTCAGGACGATGGGTCGCACGGCCATAAACCGCAAGCCGACGACAACGGCCGCTTTCGGCTATCGCAGCGTCGCGATGGCATGGCGCCGGTCAAGAGAGACGATGAGCGTTGGCGTCGCCGAAAGTGCCGACGTGACGGCAAGGCAGAGAAGCAAGGCGACGTGCGGGCAATGCCAAATGTGGCCACGTGCTCACGGCACCGCATGCACGAAAGCGTGAGGCGGCGGCGGCGGCAAAGCGGACGCGACGGCGTGGCAGAAGCCAAGCGGTGACTTCGCACAAGAAACGGCCAAGGCGATGAGTATGATGGCGCGGCGCGACGCATGGGTCAACGACATGGCGAAGCGGCTACAGCGGGCTGCCTAGAGCAGCGGACCCGCGGCGACGGCGGTGGTGGCCGGCGGCGGTGCTGCAGCGGCAACGGCGGCGGTGCGGGTTCGCCTTGTAGCGGGCGCGCGCGTGTCGAAAGCGTGAGCGCGAACCAGTATGCGGCAACGGTGATAGTGACAGCGCATGCGAGAGCCGCAAGGCGGCATTAACGCCAGCGGGTGGTGGCTGCTGACGACGACGCGATGCGGCGCATGCATGTCGGTGGCCGGATGCAGAAACCGTGTTGTGCACGCTTTTTAAAGTTGCTTGAAATTGCAACACGACGATCCAATTGCTAAACCAACTATTTTACGTCTGAGATGGTGTATCAAGCTACTAAAACTAACCTTAAGACCATGTCACCGCTTAACCCGATTCCCCTGTAAAAATTGTCGAACTTAGCTTCGTCGAACCATTTACCGACTTACGAAAATTGACTAAGTTCTTATCGGTTTCGCGTTGAATTCGATTTCCAAGCTATCAACTATGCTAGCTAGTGACTCCCGTTCTCGACCGCAAGTATTTCATCGCTACCTACGAAGTTTGTACTACAAACTTTATTAAAGCGTCGGTTATGCGTTCTATAGCATTTTCGTTCAATAAAAATTCGTCTAGAACCCTAAGTGACACCACGCGACATGAAATATAACATTCGTTTCGTGTTTTCGATGAACGTTTCAAGTGACATGAATTTATTTACACTCTATAATTCATATATTATCATATAAACATGATACATATGCAATGTTTTATCAAAAATTGTACAGTGTAACACCTTACACAAGCCCAAGCGAACAGGGCGTTTGCCTGCCGGGCGCTAATCAAAGATGGCTTTCACCTTGTGCTCCAAAGCACTCCATGGGGAATTTTTTGTATATGATTCAAATACAAAATTCCTCTGTTTTTCTTTATTTTTTGTCCCAAACATAAAATTATACCTGATGAAAGAGGGCACAGGGCCACAACACAACACTAATTCTGTTCGTTAATTTCCGTGGTACAAGAATCATGGCACGCCACACACAATTATCCACCAAATTAATTCCCATCGTTCATTCCCTGATACCAAAATCATGGCACGCAACACACAATTATCCACCAAATTTTTTTGTACTTACACAAAAGTAGAGTACCACAGGCCACAGCACAGCAGAGCAGAAAGAAGGCACAGGATGAGAGGAGCAGCATTTGCTTATGCACAAGTAGAAAGCAGCTGGGGGTACGAGTAAGGATTAAGGAATTTACAACAAATCACGAGCAGCAGCAGTTCAGGCTGCATGGAATGGAATGGTCATCAATCGAGTTCATCACTCCGCTAGTCCCACCACCGATCGCTCCCGACAAGAGCAACGCACGCACCGCAAATGATTATTGTTTTCTTCCCCTCCCCGATGCCCCATCGGAATCCGGCAGGTGTGGGGAGCGAGCTGGAGGCTGGAGCTGGTGATCAATCATGTCATGGGGCCAGGCGGCTAGGCCAATCAATCAAGTAATCAATCCCACCCACCCACGTGGCCACGCCTCACCTCCCCGCCTCCGCGTCCGCGTCCGCGTCCGCCGGCGACGACAGCTGCGCGGCCGCCAGCGCGTCGGCGAGCGCGCGCATGGCGCTGACCTGCATCTGCAGCGCGGCCACGTAGTCGGCGGCCTCCTCCAGGAGCGCGGGCGCGGGGAGCTTCCGGCAGCCCGGGACGAGGCGGCCCAGCACGCGGAGCCGCTCCTGCACCTTGTCCTTCTCCTTGCCCTTGTCCTTGAGCAACGCCGCCGCCGCCGCGTTGTCTCTGGCCTGCACCGGCGGCGGCGGACGGCGCCGCCTCCGGACCTTGCCGCCCGCCTTGACGAGCACGCGGCGGCGGTTGCAGGCCGCGCCGGCCAGCAGGATGGCTCGGCTCCACCGCGTCTGGCCGCGCGCGGTCAGCGCCAGCGCCGAGTCCGCCGCCGCCTTCACGGCGCGCGGCTGGCCGCCGCCCGTGGCGCGGAGCGCGTCCAGCAGGCGCCGCCCGTACACCCCGCGTACCGCGCCGCTGCGCCACTTGCTGGCCTGACTCCGCGGCGGCGGCGTAGCGGAGCCGCCCTTGGGCGTCCGGGACGACGAAGGCGACGGCGAGGGAGAGGGAGAGGGAGAGGAGATCATCGCCGCGCGACTTGCCAGCCTGACCCTCCCGCCGCCCGATCAAGACGGGGCAAGGGAATCGGGGAGGGAGGGAAAGGGGCAGGGGCCGGGGGAGAGGCGAGGATGGATGGAGCGCTGGTGGTAGTGCTGTTGGTGGTGGGAGGAGGAAGGCGAAGGATAAAGGAAAGCAAGCGGAGGGGATTGGTTAGATTAGCAACGTGCTTTGCTTTTGGGAGGTGGTGGGTTGGAGTGTGTGCGCTGCGGGGCTGCCGCGCTGTTGCTGATGTGATTCATCATTTCATAAACTAATCAGCCAGCGGATTATTTTTAGAGTAGTGGAGGTGGAGGGTGGTTCGTTGCTTCCACTCCCACCTCTCTTCTTTTATTTTCTTTTTCTTGTTTGGCTTGGTCGGTTGTTGCTTCTCCTTCCTTGCCCCTTATTACATTGTAGTGCTCCTGTTGTGTTGCACTTAAAATGGTCCGGGGTATGCATCATGTTTGCTGCTCCACTCATTATTAGTAGCAAGGCGGCATCACAACCTTAGTGATCCACTAGATGTCTAGATACCATATGGCCTGTGGGAGGCATTCTTTACTCTTCTTAGTAGTTGTTTATCTTCGGTTGGGTTCTCTGACAATCAGGGTTCTAAATAGCTCGATATAGTTTTTTCATAAGGTTTACCTCTGCTATTGCCGCTAATGACGCTTTAGCTTCGCTAAAAACTACTATTTTGGCTTAGCCACATATTAGCTTTAACACCACTAATTTTAATCGAGGAAAATGTCCATTCTTTAGTCTAAAGGACTGCAATCTATACCTCTTTGTGGGGTTCTTTACTTGATATTGATGTAATAAACCATTGAACTATGGATAATTGAATATTGAATGAAATGGATGTTAATGGTAGCATTGTGTATGTTGATCGATATGGTAAGGCCCTGTTTGGTATAACTTCCATAGCTAATTCTTTATTTGTCGAATCCAGCAGAAGCTTTGCCAATTAGTTTTCCAAAGAGAAGTAATTCTTCGTTGATTACGTGAAGTGATTCGCTGAAATGAACTAAGAGATAGGGAGCTGAAAAAATAGCTTCTCCTGATTATGTGGGGTGATTCTATCGTGATTTTGAGAGTTTATGCTAAAGAATCAAAGAGAATCGCTTTCAGCCATAGAATCTCTTCTCGTAAAGAATCAGTGTCCATAAAGAATCATAATCAGATGGAGCTCTAACAAATAGGCCCTAAATGCTAAATAATCGATATGGAGGCATATTCTCTTAGAGCTCGTATATGTATTTGAATTCGTATAATTTTGTTTGGTTAAGTGTTTCCATAGATAATTAATTTAGAAATTTTCATGTTTTCTGTACAGCTAAATGAAATAGCTTCCACTATATTTCACTATAGTTTTTTATAGCTCTTGAAAGAGATCGCAGCTAAATATCTTAGTCCGCGATTTATAAAACATCGCAATGTGTAATTCCATCAGCACTTCCTTCTAATGCTAATTGTATTTTACTACTATATGAAAGGGCACACCTACCAATTTCGTTAAGAAGTTTATCATATTCCAATGATTAAAAGCACCTGGATGTAAGTCGTGTGTATATATGGAACTATTTAGGTGCGTAATTGTACTTTAGTTGTATGCAAAATAATTGTACATGTACATTAGCAACCCATTTGTGTAACCATAAAGAGACGTTTTGCCCATCAACACCTCATGGTATCTAGAGCTAGATTATCCGGTGAAAGGCACAAAAAATGAAAGGAAGATGTGGACAACACTCCATGATAGCTTTATTATTATAGGAAAGCTGCCGGCTATAAGCTAGGTTGTTTGGATTAGCTAGAGCTTTTTTAGCAGCTAGCAACTTATTTTAGCTGATTTAAATAGGGTCTAAACCAAGCTTCTTTAGTTTTAACCAAATCCCACAAAAAAGCTCAAACATTCACAATATGAAGCAACATTCATTAGATACATCAGCAATACATTTTGGCAGTGCATTTGTTTGATGCTAACATGTTTTTCAATAAATTTGATCAGAGCTAGCACAAAACCAAAACGACTTAGGCAGTGCATTTGTTTGATGTTATATGACTTTGCTGCGTTTGTCAAAATCTGGATATGTATTGGTAGCCGTGGTACTTTTTTTTTGCACGAAGGCACCCGAGATCTCCATAGCTATAGACAATTTATAATAGAGTAATGAACATATCCGAACCTCACAAAACAAAACAAAAAAAGGAAGAAGATATTTGAAATACAGGATGTAGGCGAAGGGTGGCGTTGCTCGTGGATATGAACCACCGGCCCCCAGCACACGCCCCACGGCGGCCCGCCGAGTTCGGTAGGGGCCAGTGGCGGACCCAGGATTTGTAAAAGACTAGGGCCAAATTTTAGCGGCCAAAAACTGAAACAAGGAACTCGAGAGAAATATGATGCTAAAGTCCTCGTCCTCTTCATACTGTATACTTTAATTTTAGAATGTAATAATTGGAATAAAACCTCTACAAACTGAGAAGGATTGAAAATTGAAATTGGAAAACAATGCAATCTAGGGCTGCAGCTGCTCTGATCCTCAGTTGTCAGTGTCTTCCTGGGGGCTGGGACAACCACCGCTGGGGCTGGGGGCTAGGGCGCTGCTGCGTTGGGCGGCGGGCGGGCAGCCGACGACCGACCGAGCCGCCGAGGGCGCAGCCGGCAGCCACGCAGGCCGGAGCCGCGGAAGGCGGAACAGAAAGGGCGAGCCGCAGATACAGAGCGAACGTCGGAGGGAAGCAGGGAGCGACGCGCAACGGCGATGCCCTTGGTGGTGAGGTGGGCGACGGTGCGACTCTAGACAGAGTGACGGACGAGGACGATGAGATGGTGTGAGTCGGGTGAACGCGCTGCCCTATTCCCAGCTGGGCTGACTCCTTTGTTGGGCTGATGGGCCAAAAAATTGAAGAGTTGCTCCCTGGTTATTTGGTCCACGACTAGGGCCATGGCCCTACTGGCCCAAGTGCTGGGTCCGCCAATGGTAGGGGCAACGGGGGGCGTCAACAGAAGCCGACGACGATGTTGGTGGCGCCGGAGCAAGCCGACGAGCGACACGAGCATGGGCGCACTCGTCGCCTCCGCCGACAACGTTACTAGCTCTACTGCTACACACGGCTGAAAGGTCCTAATGGCTAGAGGGGGGTGAATAGCCTAATAAAAATTTCTACAACAACACTTAGCAAACCGGTTAGACAATTATGAGGCGAAGCAAGTGTTGCGCTAGCCTACCAAAAATGCAAGCCACCTACCACAATTCTAGTTGATATAGTTTCTATCCACACAATAGCTATATCACTACACTAAGTTAGTGTGCTCTCAAAGGCTAACTAAAGAGCCACACTAACCAAACTAACAAGCTCTCACAGCTAGCTACACTAAAGAGCTTGACAACTAGTTTGCGGTAATGTAAAGAGAGTGAGCAAGAAGGTTATACCGCCGTGTCGAGGAAGGAGCCAATCAATCACAAGAATGAATAACAATGAAGACCAATCACCTCGGAATCAAAGGATGAACACAATGATTTTTTACCGAGGTTCACTTGCTTGCCGGCAAGCTACTCCTCGTTGTGGCGATTCACTCACTTAGAGGTTCACGCGCTAATTGGCATCACACGCGAAACCCTCAATAGGGTGCCACACAACAAACACAAAATGAGGATCACACAAGCCACGAGCAATCCACTAGAGTACCTTTTGGCTCTCCGCCGGAGAAAGGTCAAGAACCCCTCACAATCACCACGATCGGAGCCAGAGACAATCACCACCCTCTGCTCGACGATCATCGCTGCTCCAAGCCGTCTAGGTGGCGGCAACCACCAAGAGTAACAAGCGAATCCCGCAGCAAAACACGAACACCAAGTGCCTCTAGATGCAAACACTCAAGCAATGCACTTGGATTCTCTCCCAATCTTACAAAGATGTTGAATCTATGATGAAGATGAGTGGGAGGGCTTTAGCTAAGCTTACAAGGTTGCTATGTCAATGCAAATGGCCAAGTGAAAGGGTCGAGATAGCAGACTAGAGGGGGGTGAATAGTCTTTTGTAAAATTAATCGCGTCGGCTAACCGATATAAATGCGGAATTAAAACAATCGGTCTAACCAAGACTACACCCCTCTATATATGTTCACTAGCACCTTGCTAAGATACCAATTATGCAATAAAGGTGCCGGGCTAGCTAGAGCTCTCCTAAACAATTCCAAGAGCAAGGTTACACAAACCTATGCCACTAGTATTTTAAGCAACAAGAGAGCTCCTATACATGCTAGTAAGCAAAAACACAAAGCTAACTATGCTCACTAGCAATGCTCAATAACAAGGCAACCAATGCCTAATTAGAGAGCGCAAGTACTTAGCTACACAAACTAAGCAATGTGACTAACAAGGTTACTAAAACCAAATTAGCCACTTAAGGGAGCTATCATGCTACACAAGCAAGAAGGTAATTAGCAAGCTACACAAGCTATCTAATTACAAGAGCAACTACACAAGCTTAATATGTATAAAAGGTTGCAAGCTTGTGTAATGGGGATGCAAACCAACGGGAGGAACAAGGTTGACACGATGATTTTTCTCCCGAGGTTCACGTGTTTGCCAACACGCTAGTCCCCGTTGTGTCGACCGCCACTTGGTGGTTGGCTAATTAGCATCACCCGCTAAGTTGCGCACGTCGGGCACCGCAAGAACCTACCCCTTGAGTGAGGGTAGCTCAATGACACGCTTTACTAAAGTTGCTCTTAGCGACTTCATGGGCGAGCACAAGTACCCTCACAAGCACTTCTCGGGCGCGCCGCACAAGCTTCTTATGGCTTCGACGGAGACCACCACCAAGTTGTCTAGGAGGTGGCAACCTCCAAGAGTAACAAGCACCACCGGCTTTGCAACACGACGACCTAGTGCCACTCGATGCAACCTCACGATGCAATTGCACTAGAATCGCTCACTCACACAATCGAATGATCACTATCAAGTATATGTGTGAT